ATCTACTATCTCTCCGTTAATTCAAATCCCGGCCGCTTTTCGGGCTTAATATCTTTGGACCGGAATATATAATATAATAACTACTTATATATCTCTATATATATCTTTATAGTAGTAATATTTATCTAATTATTAAATGGCATCCGGACGTCTTTATCTATTTCTTTCCGGTTTGCCTTAAATAATGCCTCTAACCTAATTACTAGTCAAATATAATAATACTATATATCTTGAATTAACTAATTAAATATCTGGTATAATACGTCTAACTCTAGCTCGTTATTCTTTACTAGTATAACTAATGTCTGTAATTCTTTTGGATCTAATACTCCCAAATACTTAACTTATCCTATATAATATAACTATAGGTTTGGCTCTCGGGCTTCCTCTAGTTCGGTAATTTGGCGGTATACTTTCTTTTCTACTTATTATATGGCTTGGTTTAATACTATCTTGGTAGTATCTAAATTAATGTCTCCGGATAGTATAACTAAACTAGATTTAGCTACTTATACCTCGAAAAACTGGGCTCCTGGTCTCCGAATAAAAAAATACTAATAATAGATATTATTTCTTTATAGGAATTGCTTTTTTATTCCTGCTTTAGGCTTACCCTTCTACTTATTTTCTTATTTATACTCCTCCCGGTAATACTTCCGAATCTGATTTTTATAGTAACTAATAAACTAATATAATTAGCTATATTTATTCTTAAACTCATATTATATTCTATCTGTTCTTAGTAGTTATAACTCGGGAATAGGGGGGCTATTCGCTAATAGAAAAACTAACTTATTTAACTTTACTTGGCTTGTAATTAATTTTTTAATAGCTTTAATATATTAGAAAATATATATCTATTTGTCTTATAATATATTATACTTGTTTTTATTTCTTAAATATATATTAATACTATTAGGTAATATGCTATATTTATATATAGAATATATAACTATATACTAAACTAAGAAATATATAAATAAATTCATATTATAAAAATAAAATCGAATTAACTTAATTCTTTACTTTCTCTATTCTATATGTCTTCTTAATATATTCTAAATTCATATTCTGGGCCTATATATATAATGGCTTGCTATAATTTCTAATTTTATATATTTATATATTTATATTTACTTTATATTTGGGATTAATATTTGGGCTAACCTGGCCTATATATCTGCTTTCCCTATTAAAACTCGGTAATAATAACTGTCTCCTTATAAAACTCACCTAATAATGGGATTCTAGTAGAAATCTTAACGGGGTTAGTATTATATATATCCGGGTTAACTTATACTTAATTTTGAGCCTTATCCGAGCTTATTTGGATATAACCCTAATAAGTCGAATTAATAAGTCAAATTGGCTCTCTTAGTAATTTTATACTAAACGGTTTTATGGGAAATAAAGTCGAAATAACTCAATTCGACTTTTTTAGCTTGGATAGGCCTTACTAAATTTATAGCTTATTTATATAATAAGCTCTATAGAATATATATATGTTTGCTTTTTATTTCTTAATTATAAATATCTAGGAAATTTGTATTTATAATAGATTTATAAAAATATAGTTATTAATTTAGTAATAATTAGTTAGAAAGCTATTATATTTTCGGAAGAATTATAAGGTAAAATAGTACTTATAATACTTAGGCTCAAATAAGAAGTTTTTTAGGTTTTACTAGAAATTTCTTAGGTTTCTCTATAATATCTATTATTAGATAATTATTATTTAATATTTTATTCTCGGATTTTTATAAATAAATAAGTAATAATTTCTTATTTAGTTAGTAATAACTTAGTATTTTGCTTTCGAATTCTAGTAGATTTATAAATAATAGGCTTTTATATTATATAAAATAGGCCTATATTCTATAATAAAAGTCTTATAAAATTAGATATAGATCTTTAATATCTAGTTAATAATTCTTATATATTTCAAGATTAAATTAATAGTATTTAGAAGCCAAATAGCTTTATATTTAAAGTATTTATAATATTTAAATATTCTTAAATATAGTAAGAAGGTAATATATATAAAGAATTAGGCTACTATATAATTAGAGTTAAAAAAATTAGTATATCTAAGGAAAAAGATTATAAAAAAGAAAGAGGTTATTAAGGAAAAGGTTATTAAGAAGGAAATTATTAAAAAAAAAATTACTAAATAATATTTAAAGAAGCTAGGAAAAGATATATATTAGTTATTAAATTTATAATAAATAAAAGAAGCTTAAGGAAATATAAGTAAGCAAATAATAATCTATTAAATTAGGATCTAGAACTTATTAATACTTTTCTTACTAATATACTTATCTAGTTATATTACTTTTATATCTTATTTCTTTCTTTTTTTCTTTACTTTTCTTTAGATAAGGTATTTTTAGAGAATTAGATTCAGAAATAAAAGATTAAAATCCGGTAATAATTTACTAAGGGTTCGGAAATAAAAGGCTATTAAAGAATTAGCTTATTTAAAAGTAATATCTAAAAAAATTATTATTAATTATACTAAGAATAAAAGGAATTTAGATTTAGAAAGCGCCTCTAGCCTTAATTTCTAAGTAAGTTTTAAACTTTTAGTAATAAATTTATTATATATATTATAATATATATAATTAATTTAGTATTTAATTCGTAGCCTTTTAGGGCCTTAAACTAATATAAAGAAAGTTATTAATAATATAATATTAGTTTTATTAAGATATATATATTATATATATTATATCTTTTTAGCTTTTAATATATATACTCTTATTATAAAATTATAATTAATCTATTATATAATTAATATATAATATATAGCTATAATCTTTTAAAAACCTAATAATATATAATTATTTTAGTATCTAACTTATAGCTATTTACTTATTATTTATTAAGTTATTACTAATATTATATATATTATACTTTTTTGGCTTTTAATATATGTATTTTTATTATAAAATTATAATTAATTTACTATATAACTAATATATAATATATAGCTATAATCTTTTAAAAATCTAGTAATATGTAATTATTTTAGTATCTAACTTATAGCTATTTACTTGTTATTTATTAAGTTATTACTAATATTATATATATTATGCTTTTTTGGCTCTTAATATATATATTCTTGCTATAAAATCGCGATTAATCTATTATATAACTAATACGTAACATATAGCTATAACTTTTTAAAAACCTGGTAATATGTAATTATTTCGGTACCTAACTTATAGCTATTCGCCTATTATTTATTGAGTTATTACTAATATTATATATATTACGCTTTTTTGGCTTTTAATATATATACTTTTACTATGAAATCGTAATTAATCTACTATATAACTAATACGTAATATATAGCTATAAGTTTTTAAAAACCTGGTAATATGTAATTATTTTAGTACCTAACTTATAGCTATTTGCCTGTTATTTGATATCGAGTTATTAACTATATGATTTTGGTGAGGGAGCTTCTCGCTAACGTGTGTTTTTCAAAACCGCCTCGCTTACGTGCCCGCTTTTCAGGCATTTGACCAGGTAGTATTGACCCTATTCCGAGTGGTTTTGACTCCATTCCGTAAGATGCTTAGTCAGAGTCTGGAATGGGGTCAGGAATGGGGTCTGATTCCTTTAGCGAGAAATTTTTTTCGTGATACCTGATTGGTTGTATCCTCTCGCTTAATTAGAATTGGGTACCTAATTCCGTTTAGCATTTCTACAGGTATTTCTAGTAGATATTCTCTAGCTAATAAAGTTCTTATATCTGGAGTAATTATTTAAATTCTTCGGATTTTCTTTAATAATATCTATTTCTATATATCGGAAAACTCTATATACCGGAAAAAATTATAGGTAATTTGACTTTAAATATTTCTAAATCTCTATATAATTTAATATCTTTTAAAATATCTTAAACTTATATTTTATAACTAGTCTTAGATACCCTAGACTCTTCCTATTAAAAAATCATATTTGTATTATTACTTCCGGGCCTGATTTATAAAGAGTGTCTTTTTATAGTATAATAGAATTCTTTTACTACATTTCTACTACCGAGCTCTTCTATCTCTAATATATATGAAAGTATTGTATCCAAGCTCCAAAACCCTACAACCGTGCGGGAGATCATCCTCAGCCTTATGGCTGCGGTGGTGTACAAATTTATACAAGATCGCCACGCGGTTCGGTACCTCGGATCAAAGCGAGTGACGATTTTGGGCAGTTCCCGCACGCCCCCGGAATATTTACGCGTAATTTGATTTGCGAAGCCTCAGGCATAAAGGCCAAGATCGGCTGGCATGGGGATTGCAAATGACAAATGTAGTGTGGAATCGGGGGGATTACGCATCAATTGAAATGGAGAGTAGGAGTGAGGATGTCCGGGTTCCCGGCACAAGGCCCCATCTACATGGCGGCGTGTGGGAGAACTTCCCATTAGCTGACAAGGTGGGTTCACTCCAAAGTATTTGATGGAAAGCCGGTTGGTGGACTAACCGAGTGCCCATGGGACGCTTGCTGACCACGCAAAATGCAAAACCGAACTAGAGATTAGATTCAAGAAGAGGTAATTACCTTGCTGGAGCATGGTTCTAGAACAAGAGTAGTAATAGGGTAGCGGAGCAAGTAGAAGAGAATTAACAATCCTGCATTATACAGGGATCAAGAGCCACTAATTATTATTAAGTTTCGTCTGATCGGTGATTTGGAATCCCTACACTTCTACTAAGTGGCTTGTCATGTCATGTGGGCGCGGAATGAAATATGTTCCACTTCGGATATACGTCAAATCTTGGAGATCAGTTATCTCTCAAGCTAGTTCGTTTGGAGAATTCTGGTAGGCTATAAGTAGCCAGAGATCCTCGAGTATTATGCTCCCCCAACCAGTTCCTACTCCTTTCTGAATTACATACAAATTCAATATACACCAACAAGAAGTCCTTCAAGGCAATTTCGCACATCAAATCTCACTTCTACACTCAAATCATTTCCACACCGACATCACCAAGATGTCCGCTGTTCCCCTTCCAACTCGCGTCCTCGCTGGTATCGTAGTTCCTGATACGGTCCTCATCACCAAGGCTCTCGAATATGCACGCAAATACTGTACGTTGCAAGTCTACAACCACGTCGTTCGGAGCTGGCTCTTCGGCTTCGCTATATCTCCAAGCCTGTACCCCAATATAGACCAAGAACTATTCTCCGTCTCTCTCATCCTGCACGACCTGGGCTGGGACCCAAGTGGTGAGCTCGTGTCAACCGACAAACGATTCGAAGTCGATAGCGCCATTGCCGCACGAAGCTTCTTGCGTTCTCATGCCCCTGATTGGGATGCGCGTAAACTTCAATTGGTCTGGGACACCATCGCGTTGCACAGTTCAGCGTCGTTGGCGTTGCATAAGGAGGATGAGGTCGCGGGGGCTTGTATGGGGATTTTGGCGGATATTACGGGGCCGGAAAGGTCTATTGGCGGTGTGTTGAGTAGGGAGGTTTATGAGGAAGTTGTGAAGGAATTTCCTTTGTTGGGGATAAAAGAGGGTATTAAGGATATTTTTTGTGGGATTTGTAAAACAAAGCCTGAGACTACCTACGATAATTTTGTAGGGGACTTTGGGGAGAAGTTCTTACAGGGGTATAGTAGAGTTGGGAAGACTGCGGTTGATTTTATGATGGCTCCTTAGTCAAGAAGGGGATGGATTGGAGCGGAGGGCTTTTCTTTGACAATGAAGGTATTTGCTATGATTACCATTGGTTCTAGTAACCACGGCTTCAACCTGTGGAGACCTTTCAAAACAAATATAATGGGAGCTTAAAGCTAATCCATAAGGCTTCCAATATACAATGCTTCGTCTTCTGTATTTTTACGATAGTGTTCCATTCTCTTCAATGCTATTAGTGACCTGTTCAATTCCACACTGCCACACTTCTTGAACTCTCATATTTCCATCCGGGTCAACCATCGTACTATTCTCATCTAGCGAGCCCCAAGGCTGTTGACCACCAAGTTGGTAGCGACGACGTACAGTTTCAAGCAAAATACTCAATTTCTCGGAAAGACGCACCGAAGGTTGCATCTCATTAGTTTCGCATATGCGAAGCACTAGTATTGCCTGTTCAATGCATTTGAAGTTAATTGCGACATCCCCCAATTTTGTCGAAACTTTCAACGCCTGAATAGGATATTTGTCAGCTAACTTCCCACAATGGTCTTTCTGATTAGGCAATGTTCTCACATTTAGCATCATTGTTGTTGCCCCGAGAAGTCGGAGGTATGTTCTAGTAGGCGCATAGATAAGAGATTCTCCTTGAAGAACACCATCCGTGACTGTCTGCACAAGATTACGACAGGAGTTGATGAGGGTCTCAATTTCGTTTTGGGCAGTTTGGCTTGAGGAAGAATTGTAGTTTGGAGACCGCATCATAGCTTGTAGAGCAATAGAATTAAGATAGACCTTTGAGTATTCAAACTCTGTCAGAAAAATATACCGTGCCGACAGGAAGACTAATTCAGATAAGTAAAACCCCACACACCTAGACTAAGAAAGCCTTACCATCGAGCTTGTCAAAATCCCGCTTCCAGCCTCGAAGTCTTGGTTGGAACTTTTTGGCCTCAGCAAGGTAGGTTCCGTTCCTGATCAGCTTTGAGGTGTGTTGTTCTGATGAGAAGAGCAATATCTGGATGTGCTTCATTATAATTGCGATTCCTTCCCATAGAAAATGGTTCCGATTATCGACTGTAGAAGGCCAATTTGGATTTGAAGGCTGCATGCTACAACCTTTGAGCACTCTCCGCCTTGTTTCTAAAATATTGGTGGAAGAGGAACTGTGGCCACTCGATTCAGGAGTTGGGAAATAGTCCCCCACGCAAAGGTCCTCCCGTACATTAAATGACAATTCCAACACTCCTTCAAAACTCTCATGCCATCGATCGAACAGGAGAGAGTTGGATTGAATCCCTCCATCCCTCGCGTCTATTTCTCCAATCCTACCGGAAGCATCAAATCCAGCCGTCTCAGCCACATGTTCATTCGTTACATCAGGTGCAAGGCAAACCCCAAAGATGGACAACTCCATCGTGTCGAGATCATCATTAGAAGGCGCCTCCAAAAGCACTGGGATCACCTGTGACTTTTGACGAGGTAATTGAAGGGCTACCGAAGATCTTTCTGGACTATTATGTACCGCTTCCCTGCCACTCGATCTTTCTTTATTTTCACTTGGTCGAAAGACTTCTTTCCTCGCAATCTTCTCGCAGCCTCTCTTGGTCCTGGCCACCGCCCATACGCAATCCCTCCCCTCTTTGCGACATCTAGGACAATCAAACCCCTGATCTGGCGTTAAACATTTGAGCTTCCGGTTCCGACAAGGAGTGCATGCTTGATAGCTTCGTTGGCCAATGGAATGAGAAAATGTCGATCGTTTGAGGAATAGTAAATCCTCGTCAAGGTGGGGAGCCATTATGGGGAGCTCAGCGCCAAGAAGTGAGAAGTCGGCCTCAGCTTAGATAAGTTCGCAAAAGTAAATATTCGAGGCAAAGAGCATATTAGGGCATTCATAAGATAATAGCATTGCCATGTCACCTGGAAATACGCTGTGAGAGAGAGGGGGAAGCCGCTTGGCCGGTGCTGACGAGGCCGTGGCGTTGTTGATTAGTGATCACGGGGCATAACTCCCTTCCAACTTCCACTAGTCGAAAACCCTATATCCGGACCGCAATTGCCAGGTAGCTGTAAATTTGCGCCGCTTGAATGACCTGTTGAGCTGAGAAGTTATCCTCAGGCAGCATCCTAACATTTGATACCCCGCCTTGGGTCGCAGTGCGAGCAAGCCCCACTGATGATTATTAATCTCAGGCAGCAGCTTCCTGCGAACAGGCAGGAACTTGAAAAATGATTACATAATTGAAATTACAGCGTAAATATTATGGGGCGTTTTACTCTAACCCAAATATCGTTAGTTGCTTCGACTGAGGTATTGATACGCGTGACGATCTTATATGAATTTGCACGCCACAGCCGCTATAAGGCTGAGGACGATTTCCCACATTTGGGTAAGGTCTTAGAGCTCGAATACAAGCCTTTTATATGTATTAGAGATAGTAAGAGCTCAGTAGTAGAGCTATAATAAAGGAACTCTATTTTGCTATAAAAAGAGACGCTTGGCAAATCAGGTGCGAGAATAATAATACAGATATTATTTTTTAAATAAAAGGGGTTTGAAGTATTTAGAAGTAGCCAGGGGAGATAACTTATAAAAAATAATAGGAGATATTAATATATATATAGATTTAAAGATATTTCAAGTTAAAGTATCTATTATTTTTTCCGTTATATAGGGTTTTCCGGTATATAGGAATAGATATTAGTAAATAACTATTATCCGGAGAGATTTTATAACAATCCTGCTAAGTTTTAAAGAAGCCTGTATGTTTTTAGAGATCGATATATACTAATACGTAATATAATAAGAAGCCGGTTTTATATCCGGAAATTAGGATATCTAATTTTAGAATATCCCTCTCTAGCTTCTATTATTTCAGATTATGAGATCCAAATTTCTAGCTTAAAGAGAAGGCTTTAAAAACTTGGGATTAATTTTCTAATTAACTAGAGATAATTACTATATATAATATAAACTAGAAAGATAGTATCCGAACTGAATTTGTATATAGAGAGAGAGGCTATAAATTAACTAGAAGCTAATAAACCGTAGTATACTTCTAAATAGGAAAGAAATTAAAATAGCTACTATTTGCTCTTATAATAGAATAACCTGCCTAGCTAGTAATAAAATAACAAATATCTTCTTTCTAAATATTAGTCTTTATCTGAATTATTTCGGAAATCTCTAAATAGCTTATAATACATTTATAATAAGACTATAAATATCTATTTCTACTTATTTAGTATAGCTCTTTTTACTACTCTTTTAATCTATATCTATATAGAAATATATAACTATTATATTATAATTCAAGTTAGTAATATATTTGTCTTTATAATATTTTTTTTTAAAATAGTTCTATATTTTTCCTTTTTAGGCCTTTTTTATATTCTATCTAATTATAGTAAAGAAATAGTAGCTTTCTGGAACTAATTAGATTATCTAGGAATTATTATTCTTATATAGGAATTAATAGTTTCTTTTATTTATTACAGATTCTATTATAATTCAAATCTATAGAAACTATACTAGGCTATAGTCTCTATTTTAGCTATAGCTTATATTATAGCAATTTTGGTTCTAAGGTTTCAATATCTAAACTTTAGGCTATATTATATTTTAATATATATATTACTTGGCCTTTTAGCTATAGTATTTATTATATATAGGCTTATTATTTATAGCTAAAAGATCTAGAACTATAGGATAGGTCTGAATTATATACTAATAATAATAATACTTAATCTTCTAGAAACTATAATTTATACTATAAGAATTCCAGAGAAATAATACTAATTATAATATAATATTTATAAATATAGTTATTAGATATTTCATTTTATAATTATCTTTACTAGTTTAGTATATATATTTGAATTACTAAATACTTTTAGCTTTATTTATTTATAGGCTTAATCTTATATTTAAAAACTATTATATATAATTATATATAATTTCCTTAGGAAACTAGCCTCTAAATTAATATAGAAAGAAACGAAATTAAAAAGGGAAGAAATAATTAAGTAATTTAATATAGGTTCTTTAAATATTTTAAATCGAATTTCCTTATATACTATATATATTATATAGTATTACTTATTAATTAAATAAAGTATTATATTTTATATTATATATATTTATAATTATATAAATAATTCTTAAATATTATTTATATTATCTAGAGGCCTAACTAGAATTATAAGCTATATATTTTACCCTAATTCGAGTCTACTAGAATATACTATTAAATAATTCTAGTATCTTATATAAATAGATCTAAGTAAGTATATAAATAGAAATAGAAAATAAAAATAGAAAATAAAAACCGGAAATAGAAATAAGATATAAAGAAAATTAGTTATTATATTCTATTAATATCTCTAATTATTATTTATTAGATTTCTATTTACTAGTAATATTAAATTAGATAGAAACCTTTTTAAGTTTATTTTTATAATAATTACTTTCTATTCTCTAATTATAAAAGCTTTTCCTAAACTAAAACTTTAATATAACCTTTACTTCTAATAAAATTATAAGTAGTATTTCTCAATTCTGCTTATTAATAGTTACTATAGCTCTAGTAAGCTATAAGAACTAAGCTATTATACTAATTAGCTTAAAGCTTACTAGCTAAAAAAAAGCAATTATTATTTACTAGATCTATAATTAGTAATTCTTTTAGCCTTTCTATTTCCAGAAACTTAGAGTTATCTAATAAGGCTATAGTTTTCTAGAAATAATTAATAATAAAATATTCTAGAGATTTTATAGTTAATATTTGCCCTTTAGGGTATACTATTATAAGAGCTTCCTTTTTTATCTAAAGCTAATCTAAATAGTATAAATATTATTTTATAGTTTTATTACTAGTAAACCTATTAATAATATCTTAAATTTAATTAAAATATAAATATCTTAAATAGAATAAGAGCCTTATAATTAGTTTCAGTTCTAAAAATATAGATTATAGATATAAAAAGTTACTAGAATATATTTTTTAGCTATTAAAAAGGCAAATTTCGCTTTTAAAATATTCTAAAAAGATTAGTAAATATTAAATCTCGAAAAATAAATATATAAAATATATAATTAGCCTATTTTAAGATTAAATAATTAGAATATAAAGCTTATATATTAAAGATATTATTAATTATATTATAATTCTTAAAAGCCCTATTAGTAAGTTTTATAACTAAAATAAATAAAATAAGATTCTATAAGATAAAGATTACCTAAATATATTCTGTTTTTAATTTTATTTAGATCTCTAGTAGTCTATTCTAATTCTATCTAATTATTATAGCTATATCCTATTAAATAGTATTAGTTTATTATATTTATTTTATAAATAAAGGATATTTACCTAGTAATATAATTCCTTTTTAATAATTCTTTTAGTTAAAGTTTTAATATTTAAAGGTTTAATCTTTTTAGAACTATTATATAATATAGTCTAGAAAACAGATATTTCCTATATATTAGAATAATTATTATATTCCTAAGATATTTTCCTTATAATAGTTACTAATATGGTTTTTATTAAATAAAAATAGATAAAGTCTTATAAAAATAAATAAAGATAAAAGGCAAAATATAAATAAAGTTATATAAATCTTACTAGAATTATATTATATTTTATATTAGAATAAGTTAGGTAATATTATAAATCTAGTATTAGAATAAAACTTGTCTTAATAACCTATATTATATATTATTATAAACCTATATTTTCTTATTTTACTAATTATTTAATAAGAAAATTTAAATACTAGAATTTATTTTTTAATTTACCTTATATATATTTTATATTATATAATTAAAAGAATTAGCTAGATATTTAATCTTTAGTATTATTTCTTTTCTTAATATAATTTTATTATTATATTAATCTAATAATAATTATAAATATATTTATTCTTAATTTTAGTATAGCTAATTATATATTATATAGCTTAAATAAATATATTACCTATTTTATATTAGGTCTTTATTCTATTTCTTTTTAGTATAATTCTATTATTAGATAATTAGTAGGATTCTTAATATAATTATAAGTAATATTTCCGGTATTAAAAGTCTTCTAGATAAATTAAAGTTATAGTATTATTTATTATATAGTTAGGCTTTATAGTAACTTTATTTGGCCTAATCTATTTTTAAAGAACTAAGGAAATTTAGGTAATATAATAGTAATATAGAATAATTTTAATAGTAAAGCTATATTAATAATATTTAAGATAAACTAGTATATATCTCTAAGCTTAAGATTAAAAAGGCCTTTTAATTCGCCTTTAAGTATAAGAGATATATATAATATAAGATAAGAGCTTATAAATAGGCTACTATTTCTGATATTATATAAATCCCTATTATATATTAAAGCCTAATAAATATTACTTTATACTACTTTATATTTTTTTATAAAGCCTTTAAAATCTTTTCTTTCTTTTATTTTTTCTTATTATATTTTTTTATTTTTAAGACCTCTTATTTATTAGACTAAAATATTAATATTTAAATTCTCTAATATAAAAATATTTATTAAACTTATTAATAACCTTTCTAAAAAGGAATTATTTAAATTCCCTGCTTTTAAAATAATCTTTCTTTTTTTTTACTTCTCGAGCTTATTTACTATATATACTAATTATTAAATAGAACTAGATTAAAACTTTATAAGGAAATTTCTCTTTTTAAATTAGTAATTCCAGTTATAAATTCTATAAATTTCTATATATTTTATATACTATTTATATCTAAATAATTAATTACTTTAGTAAATATCTCGGTTT